ATTCGTGAAGTCAAGATACCAATGCGGAAATATCAGCAGATCAACAATTAAAAAATTCATAAAAAAGACAAACGGAAGGTACGTTACGGCGATGAGAAGGTGACAAACCCAGGGCAGGGCCGATAACTTTGCAGTTTCTTCTTTGTATTTTTGTCAAGAAACTCTAGATATAAATCAGAATTGCCAGACCATATGTGGCAACGATTTTCTATTCGCGGATGAACAGTATACTTATAAAATGATTTTCCAAGCGTAGCTCAGATGTGGCTCAAGGCCGAAAGTATGGATCACCCAGTGAGGATCGAACTCAATACTCAGTCGTAATTGTTCAAGCGAGACAAGCTTGCTAACCATAACTCTACTTCGAGGAGCCCAAGTATACTTATAAGTATACATAATAAATTGTTTAGCACGGCACAGTAAACCAACTTTCCGAGTAAGAAATTTAACAACTGATTCACTATACCCATTTCATTTCATGTCAGTGGCGAACGTGCGTTCAAGAGAGCACAGTTAATTACCCACTAGAGCTTAGCATCAGCCTAGTGAAAACAGTACTCTTCATCTTTACTTGTATAAGTATATTTTTTAATATGGCGCTTCTATAAACTAATAGGTAAAGTGATAGTGCAGCTGAGGCAATATAGTATTGACATCCACGTGAAGTGGACAGAATCTAGTATATTTTGAACGTATTGTTTGGTTGAAAAAAATATATAACACTCTGTCTTCAAGGAAGCAAGCCCTCTTGGCTTTTGACGCGCATCTGTCTCAATGTAGACAAGAAATGAATGTATTCCGGACAGACATAGTTCGAAGGTGAAAACAATGAGCGCATAGAAGCGATGAAAAGAAACGATTGTCGTCTGGCATGGGTGAAAACAGTCCAAGGAAAAGGCAAACCATTCAACTGTATCCCACTTTAACCCTTGTGTCACTCAAACCATCTCCGAAGAGAAGTTTTTTGTGGCAGCCTTCCAACAACAACACCATTATAGAAACCGCAACATTATTCACTAGGTCAAATATTATCGACATTGGAAGAGTTGTCGTATGATTTCGGTTAGACGGTCGATTTAGAGTTTGGAAGAAATGACATGAGTTGGCGGATCCAACATGTTAGCAAGAGGTTCTACCAATGATCAGTAGGCTGTTTTGTCTAACATGCGCGAAACAGGCTTCTATTCTGACGGGTGTAATAGAGACATATCTTACTGTAGATAATGCCTACCTATTTGTGTTTTCAATATGCCTAAGTCGAAACGGCTTTCTTCAAGCAAGGTAACGCTACCTACCATCAGGTACGAGTGATACGAGCTCGTTTTCAGGAATACACATCTCACTTTCTTGTACACAATTGTCTAAATCTCACCGGATCTAATCCCCCCTTGAGCGAGCATAGGACATGTTAAAGACCTCGCTAAAATCACCCACCAAAAATTCGTCTACGTCACGATGATACAAAGCTATGTAGAAACGCAATGAAATATATGTTCGCTACCCATCCACAGGTATATATATATGTTTTTTGATAGCTATTTCTGATTTGAAGGCAAATCTCTTGTGTATATATTTGTTATGGTGTCTTCTCTCTAATGAGGCTATTGTGGACACTTCCACTTACTATAAAGTAGTAGGAAAAGTAATCCTCAGGAGCAACGGTGATATAGACTGAACGCTGGTCAACCGACACACATTCCCAAATCATGTAATACAATTCTGTTGTATTTACTGTTCGATACACTATTTATCTGCAACCTCTTGTTTTGTTATTTCTTAACCATTACTTGGTCGCAAAAATATTGCGTTTCTCTGTAAAAACCTGATATTTCATTAGCGTCGCCAAATATCCCGTTTGTTAAATTTACTATATGTTTTATTAATAAAGCTGTCAAATATTTCTAATTGATGGTATCTTCATAATCTTTAAATTCTTTCTTTCTACAGTGAAAATATTATAACATTTATAAATATTATACCATTCTATAAAAAAAATAAGCTGATACAATGCCTATTTTTGTTCTTTTTAGGTAAGTGGAAATTAAATAATAGCGAATAATGAAACAGAACTTATTGACCGTAAAAAGGTAAGCTACCATAAAATAGTTTTCTTAACATAAACTACTTTGAAAGTTTTATCCATGAATACAGAATATTTTCAAAGTAGACTAAAAAAAAGTTTTGGAGGCCACTCTACATTTCTGTAACAATGAGATGTTTTTGTATTTCTTCTTTTAAGATAAAACTGCTCAGTAAATACTGTGCATTTGCTTTTAATTTTCAGTTTTTCTTCAGACTCCTTTTACTACCGAAAATTTAAAATTTGGATTTGTCTATAACGGGAGGGAGCTATGGAAAAATGATTTATTCTCTCAATTGTATTTCCCCCATTATGGACATTATTTTATCCATGATATAATAACACTGTACTTCACGGACGGAGCGGAATGGATGAAAGAAAAAGGAATGATGAACACCTTCAGAGAGATTTTTATATCACTACGTCATACAAATATATATATATATATATATATATATATATATATATATATATAGAGAGAGAGAGAGAGAGAGAGAGAGAGAGAGAGACGTGTCTTTCATATAATACGAAATTTCTTCTGTGTCTGGAGACGCCATATTTAGAACTCCAGATTCAAACAGGCCGGATTCATCTTCTTTGTCCAGACGAGCACATATTCCACGAAGGAGAAATGGCTAGTCTTTAGCTTTCTCAAATTGTGGACTGCGAGACGGAGTTCCTTTCTCTATCTGAAAAATTAATATCCCCAAAGGGAAACGGAACCACTGGCTTGCAAACTGTAGCATTATCTAGAGGAGGCAGAACCCTTGGCCCATGCTAAAGCAGTAAACAAACGGAATGGTTGCTGTAAACAAACGGAATGACCGGCAACTATCGTCACCGTATGGAGTGACGTCGCTAAGCGGCCGACATATGAGACACATGACATATCCATATCTTTTCTGTTTCTCTACACGTCTTTCCACAAGTCATTTTTCTAAATTATAAATATTTTGTATGGGAAGCAGCATCTTTTGTTTTCACTATTAGCCTCTCGGTATAATTAGGAAGGTCCACCATCTTTTTTTTATGTTGCAAAGAATTCAAAGCAATGTAAAGCAGTAATTAAGATAGGTGGTGGTTTTATTGACGAAAAACAAATTTCATGCTCTTGAATGATAAACTTTATAGTTTAGCGCTTATCTTTTCCTTATATTATTCCTATATGATGGCCTGGTTATGTTCCGGTTTATCGTGACATGAAAAAAATAAACACCCACCTCCTCCCTCTGAGCTTACTTTTCTATTTAGCGCAGAGCTGACATTTACTTGGTTAATCAAGACATACCAGCAAGTCGATTTTTGATTCTGACCCAACTCTATAACTTTCGGAATAGAGGTAACATTTTGTCTTAAACTTCCTTCAAAATCATTTACTCACCATCGCTTGAAGAAGTACAATCATAGTATTGAAACATGAAAGCTTGTTTTTTATTATAATCTCTTATAATATATATATATATATATATATATATATATATATATATAGTCAAACCTTGAGAGCCAGACAAAGCTACCAAGGTGTCACCTAAGCGGGTCCTGCTTTCCCTGACGATCCGCTTAGGTGAAACCTTGGTAGGTTTGTCTAGCTCTCCAGGTTTGATTAGGTCTGCTCTACTTTTTTTATTTTGTATTGAGCACTTTCTTAGTTGATTACTCGCATCGGGGATTTTTTCTTTGGGCTTTGGACCTGTATGCTGTACGATTATTTTCGACAGACGTTCATGTTCTTAGCTGTTTTTTTTTTTAAACCTTTTTTTCCTTCGAGGTTGATTTGACCATTAGCAAATCAAGATACCGAAGGTTTTCCTGAGACGAGTGTAGTTACCTATATATATATATATATATATATATATATATATATATATATATATATATATATACACTCGAGTACTATATCAATATGTAGCATAAAAATATTTTTCATATTATTCTTTTATTTTTGTTTTAATCATACAAAACGTTTTCTCTATATTCGTTCACAAATTTTATGTACATAATTAACTATAATCAGGGATAATCCCTTCGAATATCCATCTAATCTCTACATAAAATCTGATGAATAATGGAATTATTTGAACTGCAATTACATGAATGTTTACAAAAAAATGAATAAATAAATAAATAAATACAGAAATAAAATAAAACAAGATATCCGTGCACTATGATAGTAGATCCACTAGGATCATTAGTTCTAAGAGCAGAAAACTACTGTTCACCTTTGCATAAATTATCGATACACGTATACTGTCACTTTTACTTTTACTTTTTTTAATAAACACAAAAAAGAAACTTGGTCTCTATTAAAATTTCTACGTAATAAGATTATTTCTTAAGCTATCTGAAAACTTTTTTTATTTATCCTTCTTTTTCTATAAATTAACGATTCAATACTCGCAATTCACTTTGCTCACACCTGTTCAACTTTTATGCTTTGAAATGGTTTTCTTAATTTCTACGGTAAATTCAGATCTGTGCTTATGATTTAGTAAAGGCTGTTATGTATAATATTCATTTCAATAAAAAATATAATATGAAAATATGCAAGCTAAGTTCGTAGCCTACAACTACGAAAAGGTGACGCACACACGTACTTACACAAACGACAATGCTCGTATCTTCGATTACGATAGTTACAAACTAAGTTTCATAAAATACTTTCTCGCTGTGGAGGTTATATATAACCATACCATATGGTAGAGAGTAAAACTAATAGGTGTTTAAATGTCTTGAGTCACTTAAAGTAAATATAAACTGTGTCGGCAACGAAAAATTCTGTAGATTTAATCGCTTTCGCATGAGTTTCTCTTTCTGCTATCGACAACTTAAAATGAAGTGCCTTCAGTCGTCTATCCCATGTACACTAAAATATACTTCATCCAGGTTCAGCGAACAATTCTCTCTCACTGTGTAAGTTTAGACTTGCCTTTCTCTCTCTCTCTCTCTCTCTATCTATCTATCTATCTATCTATCTATCTATCTATCTCTCCCTCTCACTCTCCCTTTCTCTATCTATCTATCTTTTTAAATAATCTCTTTCTTTTCACCACTTACATACAATCATTTACTTGAACTCACACATCTGAAAGGGACATTCATTTCAAACTTTCTTTTTTCGTATTGCAATTAGTTAGCTTAAATTATATATAGTAAATTATCGTTATTATTATTCTATTTATACACGTATGTTCTGTATTTATTTATTTTGAAATGGAGGCAAAAATTATCATCGAAATTTGTTTGGAGCCACTCATTTAATTTAAACGCCCCCTCACCAAGGTGTATATTATGTAAGATGAGTCTGCAGTGTGGACGTTTCTACAACCACTATACGCATGCGTAACCGACTTTCGCGCCTTTTGTTCAGATTTCCGTTCACTAGACGAAATAAAGTTATTCAATGGTATATATTAAATACTACAGGTATATATATGTATGATGGACTCTCCAATCTTCTAAAAATTATGGTTAGACAAGAGAGTCCATCGTACATAAAATAGGGAGTTATTTTTCAATCACCTTGTATATTAAATGCACTCGCCCCTAAGGATTATTTTCTGGGAGTATTTTTTTCTTTTTCTTTTTTTTTTTTTTTTTGCTTTTCCTGTTGCGCAATTTAATTCCAATGCAAGGAATATCTGGATCTTGCTTAACACAAAACACATTTCTAACTCCCCATCCCCCGAAAATTTCTCAAAATTATCTACATTATTCATGAGAGATTTCTGGTTTTCTTGAAATCGCTATACCATTCTTTAATAAGTTTCGTGACATTTTCACAGATTCAAGCATGATGAGTTACACATCTCAGTCTCGTGTTCCGAAAGCGTCCGATATCTTTAATTAAATCCCGATATTTCCCAATAAGCTGTTATGCTGGGGCGTTTACTGTGTAGAGACAGCGACGGTGTTTCAAATGTAGTTTTGTTTATATTAAGCTTGTTTCTTACTGGGTGCCTTGCTTCCTATTGAGCAGACAAAGATATCCTTAAACAGTAAGCACGCGTGACTTTGAATGATGATAAAGAGAACGTCTTGCATGTCATTTCCCGCGTAGTGATCTAGATGCCCTACTATTTTAGCCTTATGTTAAACTGACTTCATTTTGGGCAATATATACATGTATAGTACAGATGTAGCGAGAACGTTTAACAGTACATCGAAACAGGAATGAGATTGATCTACAAGCGCTGCACTAATATGTTGAACTTTTCACCTGGCTTATCTAAGCTTAGTGCAGAAGGTCATTTGGCGTATCGTTCTGTCACATATTCTTATAGTGATTTCGATTCTCTGCTATTACTGATCATATGCCTGTCTTTGATAAGTTCAGACACTTTGGATACATGATGAAGAATGACGAATGTCTAGCTAGTCGCGCTGTATATTACTAGTGTAGATGGTCCATTGCCAAGCATCACAAGTTTATTGATGTGGGCGCGCAGTACACCATGATCGGCGAAGATACAAGGTACCCTGCTGGATAGCATTGTGGTTGTGTTTTCAAAGTATATCACAATGCAGTTTCCCTACGTGCATATATATATATATATATATATATATATATATATTTTTGAATAAAAACAGACCACGTTAAGATTCCATGTAATAAATTTCACCATAACCCTTTTTGGGTTCTGGATCATCAGACTTTACTTTGGAAGTAAAGTCTGATGATCCAGAACCCTGTAAAATGGGTTATGGTGAAAAAAGCTTATTACATAGAATCTTAACTTGGTCTTTTTGTATTCAAACATATCTGCTCTGAATTTTACATTGAGCTCTCTGGATATCATCCTCCTCGGGTCTACCTATACGGATTACTTAAGTTTGCATGAACTAAATATATATATATATATATATATATATATATATATATATATATATATATATATATATACCGTCATCTACTGACAGGCTGTTTCGCTGAATCACATATCACAGCTCATCAGTGTAGCTAGACATCCGATCGATATATATATATATATATATATATATAATGTATGTATATATATATATATATATATATATATATATATATATATATATATATACCAATGTGTGTGTGTGTGTATCTATATTAAATGTGAAATAATATATAATATATATATATTAATATCTTATCTTACGTTGCAGATTTCATTTTTTACCTTCTCTTATACCTCATAGCAATTTAGGAGGGTAATTGGTTTTCTCCACCTTCCTTTTCGATGTATCTCTTAGAAACGTTTATCGCTTTGACATATCTAATACCACTATCCATTCACACTAATTCGTCATATAGGTTGGCTACTGCCTTCCACTGTTTCTCTTACCCTCTATATGGTATGTCACTGTCAAATCTCCAAGCGCTTCTTCCTTATTATATGACCGATATAGAATCAAAAAGCGAGAACTGAACTGAGTATAAGTTACCTTTTTCTCATTGTCCTTCTTTTTGGCTAACGCGCTCCGTTCAGGGTATTCTCAACATCTTTCTGTTGAACGGCATTTCGCTTGCCTCTAATCTTCTCTTCGACTGTGAGGAGAATATTTAGCATTCACTGCCATATAAGAAGACCGATATTACATAGAAGTATAGCACTCATTTCTTTGTTTGTAACTAAATCTTAAATTTCAGCACTTTGATTAGCTTTTGAAATGCATCTTTTGCTATTCGAATACGTGTTCTGTTTTCATTGTCACCTTCTCAATCCACTGTCAAAACACTTCCCAAATATTGTATTGGGTTGTCCGGAAAGTTCATGCCGATTTTCAGTTGTTTGTGCTCCAACAAGTTAGAACACGATAAATTTATCGAGAGATATAAAATGCTTACATTACCGATTAGAGCACACGACAAACTCTCTCTTGAAAGAGAAAGTTTAAATTTACTTAATTCGTGTCAGTTTTGCATCTCTATGAAGATGGGAGATTATAAGGTGCCTTTTAGACAATTGTAGCATTTTTTACCTTAAAGACAAAAGTTCTCCACAAGCAACAAAAAGATATATGTTGTGTACGGTGAAGGTGCTTTAAATGACAGAACTGTACTGAAGCGTTTCTCTAAATTTAAAGTTGAATTCTGAAGTATTATTGATAAAGAACGCTCAGGAAGACAGCCCACTACAGATGATGGCCAAATCAAGACATTGATTGAGAATAGCCCAAATTACACAACGTGGGAATTGGCACAAACACTAAATTTATCAAAATCCACCATTCATTAGCACTTAGTAATTGCTGGGTTCTCAAATCACTACGATGTTTGGGTGCCACATAATCTGAATGAAAAGAATCTTTTGGATTGCATTTCGTCTATGATTTGCTGTATAAAAGCAAAGAAAATGCACTCTTTTTAAAGCAAATTGTGACGGATGATGAGAAATGAATGATTTACCACAAAGTTTAGCGAAAATTATCATTTGTTAATCTACATGAGCCACCTTTAGCCACCTCAAAAACATGTCTTTTCCCTAAGAGAGTCATGCTCAGCATCTGTTGAGATTGGAAAAGAATCCTGTACTATGAGGTTCAGTCAATTCATTCCGAAAAGAATTAAAAGCAGAAATTCAAGAAAAAACGTCCAGAATTGACGAACAAGAAAGATGTGTTTTTCCATCAGGATAGTGCCAGACTCACGTTTCTTTGTCTGTCTATATTTCTGAGATGAGGTATTATATTATGTACAGTATTTACATTAGTCGGACTATTGTCCTCATCTTTGTCGCCATATTTGTCACAACGTTTCGGCCGTTGTACGCTCCGGCCTTCTTCAAGGCAGTGGAGAACTTTCAGAGGGAAAATTAGCAGGAGATAACTGATAACTGGCATCCATCAAACATGGAACGTGGAACTAGAACAGTCTACCCCAGTGATCGAAATAAAGGGTTCAGTTCGAAATTCCAATCACCTGAAGAAGGCCGGAGCGTACAACGGTCGAAACGTTGTGACAAATATGGCGACAAAGATGAGGACAATAGTCCGACTAATATAAATACTGTCACGTTTCTTTGGCGACCCGGCAAAAATTGGGCTACTCTACCCGCTATATTAACCAGACATTTATTCACGTTCTTGCAAATAATCTCAATTCTAAAAGATTTAATTATTTGGATGACATAAAAAAAAAACTGTTAATGAATTGTTTGCCAAGAAACCACTGAAATTCTGGGAAGATGAACTCTGTAAGTTCATGAAAAATTGGGGAAAACTTGTGCAACAAAATGGTTCATATTTAGATGAATAAATATTTAATGGCATAATTTTGTTTTGTGTTTTAATTTCCATTAAAAGTCGACATGATCTTTCCGGACAAGCCAATCATTTCTGTACCAGGTTGTGGACGACATCTTCAGTTAGTAGTCCGTATCCTGAACTTTTTCTCTTGCTAACAAATACAGAGGCTGTCTTTTAATTTTTTATATTTATTCTTTTTATCTCTGTATTGTCAAAAATGCCCCATAGTTTGTGTCTCCCTTCAACAGAGAGTTATCTAAGCATCGTATACATTGATATTTAATATCTTTATTTTCTCTTTTAATAAATATTTTTTTGGTTTAGAATTTTTTCCACGTGTTTGCAAAAATAGCGGTCACTTTGTAACAATTCTAGAAATTGGAATATGATCCTCAGTTTTGAAAACACGAGCATCGACCTAATTCAGATTTATACGTAAAACGTCTGATTGTGCGTTAGCATGGGATACAGATTATATCTTCTGAATGATTAATATTCTACATGTTCATTGATTAGATAGAAGAGGTGAATAGGCTATTTAGCCATGGGTAATATCCAGTCTACGAGAAGGAAAACTCCGGGTTCCAAAGCATAGAGAAGAGAAAGCAAAATCATTCCATTCTCTTTACTAAGAAGCCACTACAATTCACCAATAATAAAAAGAAAGAACCAGGAGAGCCATGAACAATTACGCCCAGAAAGAATACGACATTTATAAAATAAAATACAGTCTTTAAAATTACATATAAAATATGAAATGTACTTTGATTGTTAAGTAAATGTAATTAAGTTTAATATCAACAAAACTTT